AAAGCACAACCTTTCATATAACAGTGCAGATTGCGGTGCCAAACTTAATAAATTACTTTATGCCGAATCTAAAAGTGCTAAAACCATTCAATTGGGTCGAGCGAAACAAGCAGCAATTGAAACCAGCTCTGACACATATAAAAGATAAAAGTGAATTTTTTGCATTGCAAATAGACGCGTCAAACCGAAAAAATGTAAAACTATTCCCTCTTGTTATTCAGTACTTCGATACAAAAGCAGGAATCCAGCAAAAGCTTTTAGACTTTTATGAAAATCCAGATGAATCAGCAGGTGGAATGTTCACAGCAGTAAAAGATTCGTTAACGCGTAATAATCTATCGTATGATAAAATAATTGCGCTTAGTGCCAACAATGTAAATGTTAATTTTGGAAAAAACCATTCGCTTTTCACAAACATTGAGAAAATAGTGCCACATTTAATATAAGACAATTGCCATGCACACATTGTTCACAACAGTGTCAAATACGGAATGAACTTTTTAATATCCGATGTCGAAAACATCATCCTTAAAATATATAGCCACTTCTCTGCTTCTGCCTCTGGAAGAGAGGAGCTTAAAAAATTCGTGGCAGAAGTGAATGGGCAATGGCATGAGATTAAGCGTCACATAGGAACAACTGTCTTTGTTGCCTGCAGTCGATCATATATTAATGCATTGGACTCCCATAACGAACTACTTTCGCAAACTGGATGATAAATGCCCAACACAAATTCGTCAACTTTTAAAGCTTGAAGAAGATATTTTAAATATACAAGTTAAAGTTTTTTTTAAATATGGTCAGCCACGTTTTGAATGTTTTCGACAAAACAATTAAAAAACTGGAAAGAAATGACACAACAGTGCTTGATTTGTATGGAGCAATGGAAAAATTGAAGTTTGAGCTCAATCAAAGGAAGCAAGATAAATTTTTTGGTTACGAAACCAATAAATTATTAAAATATATTAGAGACGAAAATCCTCTTCTTTATAAAGAAACAGAGAACAATTTTGTGTTATTTTTAGAGCAATGCCTCGCATATCTTAAAAAGTGGTTTAATTTTACCGACGAAAATTGGTTGTATCACATAAAAAATTTGAATTTTGAAAAAGAACTCAAATTTGAAAATGTAGAAAAAATTATCGATATTTTATTTTTAAAAACTAAACTTAACATAGATATGGATGTACTGTATTCTGAAATAATTAGCGTAAATGAAATTTATTCAAAAATCAAAAACTGTGAAAAATTTAAACATCTTTACATAGTTGAGAAATGGCAACAAATTTTAAATTCAGACTCAGAAGAGATTTTTTCAATTTTAAACAAAATTGTTTCGCTTTTGCTTTCCATTCCAGCATCCTCCGCATTTTCTGGAAGAATATTTTCAATTGCTAACATAAAATGGAGGGATGAAAGAAATAGATCTCATATAGACTTAATAAAAAATTAACTGATTATAACATATAATTTAACATTTGCCTGTAATGAAGCCTTAAGCACATTTTTAAAAGACTCGAATTTGTTAAAAGCAGCTGAAAGCAATACAAAATATAATTAATAATAATATGTATTGATAAATACACTAGTAGMCAATAAAATAGACTCGCGACTTATTGATAAGATTTGACTATTTTTCTTTTGTTTGTTAAGGGTATGTTATTTTTTTTAAATATCGCTCTTTATCCAACACACACCATAAAATCTTAATCTTAAACTTTGAGCAAAAAAAGAAAAACTCAGCAAAATTTCATCTAAATTTAAAACTTTGTTGTAAGGATTTAAAAAGAAAATGTTAGTTGCTATACAGTTTTATATCTTAATCAATGTAAGTGCCATTAAGTGTAATTGTAAAGCTGCTGAAAATTACGGCTGATTTAAAAAAAAATTTTTGCTGGCAGTGTTAGGCATTTCCTTCCATATACAAACATTTTCAAATACACTTCGTATGGAATGCAAAGCCTAACACTACCAGCAAAAACAATTTTTTAAATCAGCCGTAATTTTCAGCAGCTTTACAATTACACTTAATGGCACTTAAATTGATTAAGATATAAAATTGTATAGCAAATAACATTTTTTTTAAATCCTTACAATAAAGTTTTAAATTAGATGAGAATTTGCTGAGTTTTTCTTTTTTGCCCAAAGTTTGAAATTAAGATTTTTTTGGGTTTTGTAAGATAAAGAGCGATATTTAAAAAATGATAATATGCTCTTAACAAACAAAAGAAAAATAGTCAAAATTTATCAATATGTCGCAAATCTATTTTAT